CCTCTCTCCAGACGGAGATCTTGCGACCGCCACTGTTAGGTAGATATTTGACATGGCAATGATACACTGCAACCTGCTTCTACTACAGCTATTTAGTCTTAATATTTTAGTGAGCATGCATGACAATCATCAGTCTAGTGCTTACACCTTTACTCGCGATCGCGGCATTTTCCCCCATACTTTTGAAGGAATTTGCTCAACGCTTGATTAGAACACTTCCCGCCTTCTCTTACTTTTAATCCAACCAGCTCGGGCGTCCTGATCCCAAACTTAACCATGGTTTACACCCTTACCGTGATAATTTAATTAATTCTTTAATTAATAAGTCGATGAATCAATGACGCCAGCAAACAAATTTTGGTAGTTTTCTTGCATGTGAGTCTTACCACTAAAAAAATCTTTTTAAAAAAATTCATAGAGGAATACGAACGTGTGGTGTCCAGTCTGTAGCGTTCCCATGCGAATTTCCTCTGCTTCGGGCCTTAATATGGGCTTTTCAGGAGAAGGATAAAACCCAGGAGCTTGATAATCTTCGGGAGTCCCTAAAATTCAAAAAATTCTTGAGCTACACAAGCATTTTGGATATTCAAATACTAACAATCAGTGTATGTGGCACGTAGTGTGGCAGCCGCAGCAGTTGGAAGGGGAGCAAGGACTATTTTGCACAATCCTCTAATTGCTTTGAACAAATCAAGGACTTGCTTCTTCACACTTTGTATCCCCTCATATCTCAGAGACGCCATGATAGTTCCATCAGTCCTGTAAAACCTTGTTATTAGCAACATGTGTGCTTCACGAAACAAAAATTCAAATACCCTGTAAGTTCTGCTCCATGATCATCACCGACGCCATATCGCATGTGCCAGATATACATTTCAACTGCATCGTTTTCGTCATCCCTCGTCGGATTGATTACGAGCATCAAACTGCGAAGATAGCGATGCGCTATAGCGTGACTGACACCTCTGAACTTCTCAACCATCCGGTACCCTGAGGATGTTGACGTATTCATTACGCAGACGCGTAAGTTCTCTAGAAATAAAAAACTGAATCTGAAAAAAAA